GTAAGGCACTCTTTAAAAATGGATTTAGATTGTAATTTAGTTTTTAAAAAGCTATTAAAATATGAAACCTGGGACTGGAGAGATGGCTCACATTTGAGCTCTTGTTAGCTGGGCATAGTGGCACACATCCTTTCTCTATCCCTGTTTGGATTTCCCAACTGGCTAAATCCTTCCTGTCCTTTGGCCAAAACAGCTTTATTCATCAACCAATAAGAGAAATATATATTCACAGCATACAGAATGACATCCCCACCAGGAATGGTCACCCTCTTCTGGCACATAATGGACAGACTTATGTGCGCACAAAACACTCATATACAGCAAATGCTTTTTTTAAATGAAAACATCTGTAGGCAGAAGTCTCTGTCCTGCCAGCTATTCCCAAATAAACACACAGAAGCTTAACATTAATTATAAATGCTCAACAGTTAGTTCGGGCTTGTTATTAGTTAACTTTTACCAGTTAAATTAACCCATTTCTATTTGTCTATGTATTGCCATGTGACTCGTGGCTTTACTTGTCCTCCAGCATGTCTTGTCCCCTCTGTTGGTGTCTCTCTTACTCTGCCCTTTTCCATCCCAGCATCCTTAGTTTGGCTGTCCAGCCTATACTTTTTGTCTGATTACCAGCCAATCAACTTTTTATTAACAATGAGAGCAACACATTTACACAGTATACAGTATTATTCCACAGCATCTCCATCAAATTTAATTGTAGAGATACATATATGTTTGTGTGTCCCTGTAAGTTTTCCATTGTAAAGAGTTGTATTTGTGTGTGGTTGCTTGTTGCTCTATAATGGCTCGGTCTGTTTTCAAAGGCAAATGTCATAGTGCACTTCAGGACACCTGTGTTCACACCATTGGTTCTTTGAAACTATATTTGGATGTCCAAGCTATTAAAAGCTTCATGCACTTAGTGACCTTCCAGGCAGAGTCTAGATTGGATGTTCCCATTGCTGCTGCCTGTTGCTGAGTGAAAACCAGCAGAAAATCCAGGATCTCGACCTCTATAGGGTTTTCATCTTGCTTTGTTTTATTTCCTTTCCTTTTCCTAAAGAAGATGAACCATGAAACCACAACCCTGATATCCTTGAAGGAAGCAATGAAAAGGTGGCTCAGGGTAACAGGGAGGGAATAAGCCAGGGTCTGCTATTCTCAGAAGAAGGGGAGTGAAGAATGAAGAATAGAAATAAGCAAAGAATAGGAGACATGATAATTAGAACTGTGTTTGCTAAAGTGGTTTGAGTCTTGCAGATTCAAAAAATATGTAAACTAATAATAAAGAAAAATGTGGGGTGGGGCTTGTGATTTAGCTCAGTAACAGAATGTTTGTGTAGTTGAAAGGCCCTGGTTTTTAAATCCCCTACATCTGCATGTGCATGCATGTGCATACACACACACACACACACACACAGAATCAAGAAAAAAAATCTGCTTTGCTATGCTATAATTCCATGCAATTCATGCTAGATTTGCAGAAATAAGTAAACTATATGACTGTTTCCCTCAAGGAGCTCATAGCCTATTATTATAGAAATAGTAAAATTGTTTTTTAAAGTATAGTTTAATACAAGTGACCTTATACTGATGAAGACTGAAGGAACATGAAGGAGGGATCAATCCATTTTGCCTAAGAAAATGGTTGTTCACAAAGGGATACTTTAGCTGGATCATAGCATCTGAGCGAGTTTATGAGGAAATAAATATGGGGAGGAATTTTATATTGAGGAAACTACATTTTGGCTTCATTAAAGATTGGAATTACAGATTAGCATTTAGAATGTGTGGGAAGACTCACAAAGACCTTATGCTTACTTGAGGAGATTCAATTTGTCTATAAAGGGCATAAAAGATACATTTTTTAGCTAAGTTAAATAATCACAATAGGGCTGGAGTGATGCTTCAGTCGTTAAGAGCACTGGCTGCTCTTCCAGAGGTCCTGAGTTCAATTCCCAGCAACGACATGGTGGCTCACAACCATCTATAGTGGGGTCTGATACCCTTTTCTGGCATAAAGATGTAGATGCAGATAGAGCACTCGTATGGATGGAATAAATAAATCTAAAAAATAATCACAACAGTATTTTAGAGAAGTGTGAAATATGAAGACTGGAGCAAGGACTTAGTAAGATTACTGTAGTCCTAAGACCAGGTGAAAGATGATGGACTGGTTTACTGGGTATGGCAAGTAGGACTAGCTTAAGAGCTATCAGTTGTGGGGGAGGGCTTGAGAACTATTCTTAGATTTCTAATTCACACAACTGAATAAACTGTAAAGCTGATAACAGTGCTAGGGAATTGTGGTAGGACATTACACTCAGATTACATTTTTTAATTAAAAAATTCTCTTTTGACTTATTTATCTAATGTGTTCCCCATGTGTGCCTGGTGCCCTCTGAGGTCAGGAGAGAGCATTGAATTCCCTACAGCTGGAGCTTTGAGCCATCATGTGGGGGCTGGAAGTTGAACCCAGGTCTTCTATAAGAACAAGTACACTTATATACTAAGCCATTTTCTCAGCCCATTTTTTGTATGTTTTTAAAGATGGGTTTGTGTATGTGTGTGTGTGTAGCCCTAGGTGTCCTGGAACTTGCTCTGTAGACCAGGCTGGCTGAAAACTCAGAGATCTGCCTGCTTCTGTCTCCTGAGTGCTGGGATTAAAGCATGCCCATCATCACCTGCCCCCCAAATATAGATACAGAAAGAGGGAGGGGGTGTCCATGCCACAGACATCCATATGGAAGTCAGAGGAAAACTGGAAGGAGTTGGTTTTCTCCTTCCATCATGTGGGACTAAGGGATTGAGTCAGGTCACCAGACCAGCAGCAAACACCTCACCTGTTGGGCTGTCTGTATATTCTTTTAAAACATTTGTTAGAGTGGCTGAATGTCTTTTGGCTGGGTATTCCAAAGAACTGCAATTATAAACTGTTATCATAAGCTAGGGTTCATCTCCAGAGTTAAAGGTAAAGGTAAAGGTAAAGCTGGGCAGTGGTGGTGCATGCCTTTAGTCCCAGTACTCAGGAGGCAGAGGCAGGTGGATCTCTATGAGTTCAAGACCAACCTAGTCTACAGAGTGAGCTCCAGGACAGGCTCCAAAGCTACACAGAGAAATCCTACCTCAAAAAAACAAGACAACAAAAAGCAAATTGTAAAAGTTAAGTCAGTTGGCATAATTTTGACTTGAAAACAGAGGTTGCTGCATATAAGCCTCGCAGGCTTCATACTCCTATAAAATACACATTTCATACCAACTTTTATCTAGCTGCAAATTGGAACCAAAACCAAGAGAAAATTTCTCTATTGTAATTTCTGAATATAGAGGAGTGTAGTTGGTTGGTTTTTTGTTTGTTTGTTTTACTCTCTTGTTTTTTGGGACCACCACCGAGCTCCCAAATTAATCACACAGAGTCTTATTCTCTCTTATGAATGCCCAGTTGTTTCTTGCCAACTTTTCTTAAATTATCCCATCTACCTTTTGCCTCTGGACTTTGTCTTTCTCCATTTCTGTATACCTTTCTTTCCTTCTTACTCTGTGGCTTCCTTTGTAGCTGGGTGGATGCCCCTGGAGTTCTTGTCTCTTCCTCTTCTCATTCTTGATCTTTCTTCCTAGATTTCTCCTCCCATTTATCCTCTCTGCCTGCCAACTCCCCGTTTCTCTCTCCTGCCTTGCTATTGGTTGTTCAGCTCCTGATTAAACCAATCAGATGTTTCAGGCAGACAAAGTAACACAGCTTCATGGAGTTAAACAAACGCAACATAAAAGAATGCAACACATCTCTGCACCATTAAACCCATGTTCCACAGCACAAACAAATGTAACACATCTTAAAATAATAGTAGTCTACAAGAGAGTTCATAATGTTAAGTATAGGGCAGTTGAATGTGATATCTTTATCTAGGGAGAAATGCACATAACAGATGAAAGTATAAGTCTAAGAGAAAAGTGGTACCTGAAGTTCAGTTACTACTGGGAGATCAAGAGAAGATGGTCAAGGGCAGCCACAAAGTGTTCAGGTCACTGGAGAGGTTCCTTCATTAAAGAGAATGTGGTGCCTTCAGGCCAGTGAGTTGTGCCACTCCAGCTCTTTGTCTCCTGCCATGGTGCCCTCTGGTGACCAGGGATCCTCAGAGCTACTTCTGAGTGACAGCTCAGCAGTTCACTCTCATCTCAGGTGTCAGTTGTATGACCTGGACATAGGTTACTACTTCTTTATGAGACCTCTGATAGCTATTGGGAGACAGGGATAATATATCTAAGGAATGGCCACTGATCTCCTATGTAGAATTTGCACTTTATGCAAATAAAACTAAAACAAAAGAATTGTTGGGTGATAGAGGCAAGAGGCAAGGATTCCCTAGAGTGGATTCCAGAAGATAGTGGAGAGCTGGACATAGTGGTAGAACTCTTACTTAGAAAGCATGAGGCCCTAGGTTTAATCCCAGCACCTCTCACCTCTCTCTCTCTCTCTCTCTCTCTCTCTCTCTCTCTCTCTCTTACACACACACACACACACACACACACACACACACACACACACACAACGGAATTTGAAGTAAAAATGAACTTGCAAAGTCAGCATGGTGAAGAAAGTCACTTTATTATGTTCACTGGTTCTAGAACTACTCATTTAAGAGACTTAGTCTTTTTCAAACTTAATTACCTATCAAATGGAAAAATCAGAACTTGTACAGCTCTAAAAAATAAACTTTCCCTCACTAAACAGTACAAATAGGGCTGGTGACATGGCTGAACTGGTTAAAGACACTTGCCGCCTTATCACCTGAGTTCAAACCCCAAAACCCACATAGTGGAAGGCAAAAACAACTCATACAAGTTGCCCTTTGGCTTCCACATGTGCTCCCAACTCCTCCCTTAAAAAGAAACTAATAGCTTCACTTCTTATAGTCATGAGAAGTAATGCTTGTCGATAATCTGTGAAGTATAAAATATTGCACCAGGGAACAAGTAATTAGATGATTCAGAAGCCTGTCAATATGAAGAGCAAGGTCAGCAGAGGGCATGGCAAATGGGAACCTGTTCACATTTTAACTAAGTACCTACCTAAATTTGATAGGTACTTTTATAATCTATTAGAGTCTCAGGTTTACCCTGGCCTGAACTTACCATTGATTCTTCAATCCTGTAGAGTGGACAACAAGCTCCAAGCTCTAGAAATACAGTTCAAAGAACTAGACATCACCAAGGATAAGCTGGCACAGCAATTTGAACAACACAGCAAGACTTTGGCAAGCCAAGCGGCCCAAGATGAAATATGGACAGCAGTTCTGGCCCTCGGGTGAGCAGTGGTTGAGGATTTGTGACTTTTGTGGCTTTGTAAGAGATTCCAGTGGCCATTCCAAAACTGAGTGCAGTATGTCCCAAAGGTATTACTTATGTCTGGGGTCCTTCGTTCAGAAAAGGTTTTTATGCCAGGTGTCACAGTAATCCCCCTTCTGAGTCTCTTACCTGATGGTCTTATTGACATGAATGATTAACAGAATTCCCTCAGCATGGGATAATCATCCAATGGGTGGCCTGAGAACTCAGTTATAAGTTTGGTACAGGCCATACTTTTAAAATTCACAGCTGGTTTCCTCATGGGTTTACATTGAGCCAATCTAATCAAATGTAAGTTAATATTCCATTTAAGGAGCTTTCCACATTTTTCATAGGTTTACCTCAATGGAACTGAATATTTTATACAGCTATGTCATTGAAGTTCTTATTTGCTTGCATATTCAAGTGCTTCAGAAACTTCCAGAAATGGTGAGAAATCTTCCGACCTTAGCTTCTGTCCTTAGACGAAAAGTCAAGAACAAACATGTTAAAATTGTGTGGGAGTCTGTCCTGGAGGAGTATGGGCTGCAAGAGAGAGATGTCACAGCACTCTGTACCTTCTTCATTGCACATGGTAACAAAGCAGAACACTATGCTGCCAATGTAAGACAGATGTACATCAAAGATGTTACGTTCATGATCACCAACATGGTAAAGAACAAGGCTCTGCAGGATGGTTTGCTTCGGGCTGTTCAGGTCATTGAGAAGGGGAAAGTGGTGAGGACTATTGAAAACCAAAGGGCATCCCTAAAAGAGTTGATTCCATCAACCAAAAATTAACCTGTTACCCTATGACTCAGCAATTTCCATTTCAGTAATTTGTATTGCAAAAACAAATAAACAAAAAAGAATAATTGGTGTAGGTTTTATTGTATAGCAAAAGTGGGAGGAGCATTAGAAAAATTATGACAAATTGATACAACGAATATTTTCTGTGTAGCCATATTTAAAAAATAGGCAAAAATTTATAATGAAATAGAGTCTGGGGGTGTAACCCAGAGTACATGCTTTGTATGCTTCAGGTCCTGGTTCAATCCCTAATACAACAAACATAAATAATAAAATAAATTTATATGGAATCATCACTCAGGTTTGGTGTAGTTTTGTTGAAATATTTATCTAATGTTAAGTATAAAAGGGGCAAACCAACTATGTATACATATCTATAATATTTTTAAAAGATATTATGCATTAGTTTAGATGTCTACACTTCTCCAGTGATACTTAAGTAATATTGGTTTAGGTGTGGCTAAGAGGCTAACAGCCAAAGGGGAAGAAATTCTTTTCACTGGATAGTGGAACTTGTCCTCTAGGCATGACATGACATCTCTGTCTTGAATCAGAGAAGCTGTGATCAGCCACAGGACATGGCCATGAGATCAGGCCTATTGTCCTTTCCTCATTGAGGGGAAAGTGAAATGTACTTTTCCCTGAGATTCCAGCTCCAACCACAAGTGATACATAATCTTGTTCTCCCTGGTCTTAGGGGATGCTATAATATACAGGAGGTGAACAGTTGACCATGGTTGGGAACCTAGTGATGAAGCTTTTGTGGGTCATCCCTATGCTAAGGTGGAAACTTTAGGTGGAATTGCTTGCCTTTGAGTCATCCATGCTATTGTAATTCTGCACTCATGTTCCTGTAAGACTAATGAACTCATTGGTTCACCAAGATCAACTTGGATGGAATATCTTCTTTGTTTTTTTTTTTTTTTTTTTTTTTTTTTTTGGTGTCAGGAGGAAAATAGATAATGCTTTATCTCTAGGAATAATCAGACTATTTGTTCACTGTGAACATTCTGAATTTTGAATGTTCACTAATTAATCAACAACCTAAATCTGTTAGGGTGGAGAGACGATTCCGTGTGGAAGAGCTTGTATCTTTCTTGCAGAGGATCCGAGTTCCATTCCCATCACCTGTGTCAGCTATCTCACAACCACGGCCCCAAGACAAACTAGTGGGTCTTTCTTTGTACTCCCAGCTCCCAAATAATGTCATGGAGACTTTTTATTAACTATGAAAGTTTGGCCTTAGCTTAGGCTTGTCCCAACTAGCTCTTAAATTTAAATTAACCCTTTTATATTAATCTATGTTTTTCCATGTGGCTCATTAACTCTCCTCAGTACCATAAGTCCTACTTCCTCTGATTCTTGCTGGTGAATCTCCCACACCTCAGATTCTTTCCCAGAGTTCCTGTCTCTCCCTGGAAATACCATCTATCCTCTCCTGACTAGCTATTGACCGTTCAGCTCTTTGTTAGACTAACCAGAAAGTGCCTTAGACAGGTGAGGAAGGACAGAGACACATCTTCACCCCGTGTACTAAATGATCATCTCAACAGCAGCTAGAGTCTTGATACTTTCTGCCAAGCTGTAGGCCTTAAGTCTTTAGAAAGGAATGCTGCAGGCATTGGGGTTGTGCCATAGAAGGAAATGTAAATGTCAAGTTGTCACAGGTCTGAGGATTCTCTGGCCCAAACTGTTAACTTTCCACTGAGATCAGCCTTCTTACAGATTTACAGGGGAGTTGAGCCAGAGACTGTTTAGACCTGGAACTTTCTATGTTGTCTGAGTTGGACTCCAATTCTAGATCCCCTTGCTTCTGTCTCTACCTTTATTACCTAAATACTGGGATTACAAAACACAAATGACCACATCTATCTCAAAATACTTTTCCTTTCTTTGTTTATTTCTTCCTTTCTTTCTTTCTTTGTTTCTTTCTTTCCTGGAGGGTCTCTTTGAGTAGTACTGGAACCCACTGTGTAGACCAGGTTGGTCTCTAACTCACAGAGATCCTCCTGCCTCTGAAGTGATGGTGTGCACCATTATGCCTGGCCATGGATACGTCTCTAATATTAAACATAGGCTATTGATGAGGATCCAGTTGCTGACTGAGCAATTGAGGCAGGATATCATATAGCCCAGATTGGCCTGGAACCAGTTATGTAGTAAAGGCTAGTTTATAATAATCCTTTTGTGACTACTTCCCAAGGGCTGGGATTACAAGCATGTTTCTTTGTTGAGCTCTTCAGATTCGATAGCAAACTCATGATGAAGTTTCAGGGTGTAGGTCCTAAGCACCCAAAAATCAGGGGAGAGAGCAATAACAGCCAAATCTCCAATTTGCTGAGCTTTAGGTAGTACCATAACGATACTTCCCTCACTTCAACTTTTACAGGGATTCCTTGAAACCATCAATCCATCCTTTTGTTGCTTTCCTTATACCTTACCTGTCTATAAAGCCAACATCTGCACGTCCTAAGGCACATTCTATAGAAACAAAAATCTTTTCGCTGAATTTGTTGCAATTTTTTTCTTTTGGCACTAAAAACTTTGGAAATTTTGATTAGGACAAACAAAAAGTAGTTCAAGAGTACTAAGAGAATAATTATCATAATTACTGTTTGGATTTTGTTTAGAGAGTTCACTTTTGAGCCAGCGACTAACCAATTTTTACAGTTGAATCGCCTAAGATAGGAGGAGCAGCAGCGGGCAGCCCGGGCTCCGCTGCGCGCGCAGCTCCCGGAAGTCCCGCCCAATCGAGCAGTTCCTTGGGTAAGAAGTGCCGTTTTGGCGGGGAATTGTGACGTCTGTAGATCGCGTGTACCTGCTCCCGCCTGTGCCAATGAACTGGTCGGTGGGACAGCGGCTGTGAGTGGCTGGGTCTGTGGAACCGCGAGGCGACCAGAAGCTGGAGCGCGGGACTGGAGGGCTGCCTCCGCCGCAACGGCGGGACGGAAGTCTAGCGGCGGCCCAGCCCTGTTTCCGGGCGGTACGGGGTGCTCTCGGAGCGGCGGTCCCCGGGCCAGGCGGCCTCGCGCGAAGAGGCGGGTCCTCACCCCGTGAGAAGGGGAGCTGGAGCCGGAACCACTCACCGGCCCGAGGCCGCCGCGCTCGTAGGAACGTTCATTCATTCCCTTGCCGGACGCAGGGCTTAACTGTTCGCCCGGCGAAGTTCAGCCTGTCTGGATTCCAGTACGCTGCTTGTATGTCAGAATAAATACCAAACCGCTCGCTGACTTTTTTCCGTACTATGGTTAGCCGAAAGACTGGTTTCTTTCAGCTGTTGACGTTGAGTAGGCCTCGTTAGCTTATGAAGATGGCTGCATCCAAAGACACCATCCCTTCCTTAGCCGAATGTCAGTGCGGGATCTGTATGGAAATCCTGCTAGAGCCGGTAACCCTTCCTTGCAACCACACGCTCTGTAACCCGTGCTTCCAATCAACTGTTGAAAAAGCCAACCTGTGCTGTCCCTTCTGTCGCCGCCGGGTCTCTTCGTGGACTCGGTACCATACCCGAAGAAATTCTCTTGTCAATAGAGACCTGTGGGAGATTATTCAAAAACACTACGCAAATGAGTGCAAGCTTAGAGCCTCTGGGCAGGAATCAAAGGCAATCGGTGAGTAAAATTCAACATGGTTATTGGGTTAAAAAGAAAAAAGCCCAAAATAGCTTAGAGAGGGAACCATCATTTTTCTATTTTAAAAAGGGGGGCGGGGCGGTGATGGCGCATGCTTTTAATCCTTGGGAGGCGGCTATCCTTTGAGTTCGAGGCCAGCCCGGTCTACAGAGCTAGTTTCAAAACAGCCAGAGCTAACATAGAACCCCTGTCGCGAAGAAAAAAATTTGAGTCTAAATTGATCTTGGGAATTTGTGGGTTTATGAGCCCCGTCCCCATACTGGTTAAAGTTAAAGGCAAAATTTTATCATCTGTAATAATGCTCAAGTTGTGTTCACCAGCTGTGAATTGAGTTTTTTAAAATTGCAAAAGGAAAAAAAAAATCACCCCTTTAGAGTTGTCCAACTTCTGAAAGACTTGTGGTCAAATACCGACGTTCTTTGGCTTTGCATTACTTTCTCTGACCTGTTTATTAATTTCCTTCATTTTATTCTCCGTCCTTAGTATGCAGCAAGCCAGTTCCATCTAGTTCAGTCATTTTTGGTTGAGCTCTTTCATTCTGGGGGGTCCAAAGAGCTACAAACTGATCCCTAGTCTTTAGCAGTGTGCCAGTATTACAAACCATTCAGTTTTTTTTTTTTTTTTTTTTTTTTTTTTTTTTTTAGCCTTGAATATGGTGTCAGCCCTTTATGTTTTTCAAAAAAAAAAAAAAAAAATCAAAAAACAAAAAACAAACCTATAAAGTGGCCCTGAGTAGTGGTGCTCGCCTTTGATTGCAGTGGTCAGGCACAGGGGAAGGTGGATCTCTGAGTCCAAGGCCAGCCTAGTTTACACAGAATCCCAAGACATCGAGGGCTACACAGAGAAACTGTGTCTCAAACAACAACAAAACCCCCACAAAATTTGCCATCTTAACCATTTTAAGCAACAAATCTTAAACAAGAGACCCCCAGTTTTGTAGAGATATATATGGTAATAGTTGCATATGTAAAGTACTGCTTAAAGTAGGGTGTAGTCCTGAGTGCCTTTAATCCCATCACTTGAGTGGCAGAATCAGGAAGTCAGATCTCTGAGTTCAAGGTCAGCCTGCTCTATTTATTGAGCTCCAGAACTATAAAGGAGAGACTTTGTCTTAAAACTGATTCTTGTGTCTGGGCTGTAGTGATACACACCTTTAGTGCTGGGGAGGCAGAGGCAGGCGGATCTCCAAAGTTCAAAACCAGCCTGGTCTACAGAGTGAGTTCCAGGACAACCAGCTACACTGAGAGACCTTATGTTGGGGTGGGGGGGAATTCTTATGTAGCTCAGGCTTCTCTTTAATGGGCTCTGTGGCTGGGAGTGACCTTGGTCCTCCAGTTTGGGATTACAGGAATGTACCACCATACCTGGCCTAAGCTTTAAGGTATTTGTTGAGTTAGAAATACTAACCACTTGTCAATATCTCAGAAAGCCTGTTGGAAGTTTAATTGAATTGCATTTAGCAGCTTTCGAGACACTGGAAATTCACCAACTATTATAAAATCCTTATATCCATGAAAGTTATCTTTCCATTTATTTAGTTTTTCAGTTTCTTTTATGGAGACAATCTTAACCAATATAACTTTGAGGTAAGGTTTTAGGAAGTTCCATGCCAGCCAAAGCTACATAGAGATACCTGCTCTAAACAACAAAGGCAAAAATCAAAATATACAGTAAGAAACTATGAAAACTGTATTATACTGTGAGCTGGTGTGAAGTATGCTAAATTCTCATTTCTTTTAGTCATTGAGAGATAATCCATTTGAGATACTATAGTGGGATATACAGGAACTAGTCACCTTCAAAATGGGAGGGGATAGGATTCAGACTAAATAGTACATTGCTTCCATACACAGTGTCCTAGCCTTGCTTCTTTCCCTGCCCTCACCACACACACACACACATGCACTTTTAGTAAAGGAGAATCTGACATGCAGAGAGGTAGAGGATTGGAGGGTGTTTTTCCCTCCTTTTATTATTATTGTATGATTACAGACGTGAGTGACCCTCCACACGTGTGTGGAGGCCAGAGGACAATTTCTATCCTAGGTTCCAGGGATTGAACTCTGGTCATAAGGCTTATGTGGCAAATACTTGAACTCACTGTCTTAGTTACTGTTCTAAAGCTGTGAAGAGACACCATGACCAAGGCCACTCTTAAAAGAGGAGGCATTTAATTCAGAGCTTATTTAATACTCATGGGAGGGAGTGTGGCCACAGACAAGCAGGTATGATGCTGGGGAAGCAGCTGACTGCTACCTCTGATATGCAGGCAGCAAGCAGAAAGCAAAGCACTGGACCAGTCCCGGGCTTTCAAAACCTCATAGCCCCCCTATTGGTGCTCCAACAAGGACACACCCGATCCTGCCATCAGTTCAGCAACTGGGGACTGAGATAGCAAATGTGTGAGCCTGAGAAACTGGGCATTCTCATCCAAACCACTGCACCCATTGACCCATGCCCTGGGCCCCTAGTTTTGTTTTGAGATAAGGTTCTATTAGACAGGGTTTCTCTGTGGTTTTTGGAGTCTGTCCTAGAACTAGCTCATGTAGACCAGGCTGGCCTTGAACTCAAATTCCAGAGTGCTGGAATTAAAGGTGTGAGCTACTACCACTCACCTGAGATTGAATGTTTTAAAAATGTGTATTTAATTGTGTGTGTGTGAGAGAGAGAGAGAGGAGAGAGAGAGAACACATCATGTGCATGCAGGAACCCTTGGAAGTCAAAAGAGGCTTTAGATCCCTGAAGTACAATTAGGACAGTTTTAAACTGACACACAGGGTGTGGAGAACCAACCAAAAAACCAGGTCCTCTGGAAGAGCAGGAAGCATTCTTTTGGATTTTTGAGACAGTGTTTCTCTGTGGCTTTGGAGGTTGTCCTGGAGACAGGCTGGTCTCGAACTCACAGAGATCCACCTGCCTCTGCCTCCCGTGTGCTGGGAGTGCTGGGAGTGCTGGGACTACCTGGTCTACAGAGCTACAGAATGGGCTCCAAAACAATATAGAGAAACCCTGTCTCAGAAAAACAAAAAATTCTGTCTCAAAAAGCTTAAAAGTTGGGGCTGGAGAGATGGCTCAGCAGTTAAGAGCACTGACTGCTCTACCTTTCAAGTGCTGAATTTATCTTTTTGTTATTTAAATGAAACATTTTTATTTCAATGTATAGTTGTTTTCAGGTGATTTAAATATGAAAAGGAAGGTTCTTTTAATTGAAAACATAAAATAGCAAAAAAAAAAAAAAAAAAAAAAATTGAAGTGCCCAAGTGTCAATGAATGGATAAACTAAATGTATATATCTGCAACAGAATATACGGTTCACTCATTAAAAGGAATTGTTAAAGTTTTATGTGGAATAAAGACATTGTTCCCAGCCATCCTTACTAGATGATTATATCAGGAAAGTATTAACTTCATCAATGGGTCAGTCCACTGTTAGGAGGTGAGGCCTGTTTGGAGGAAGGAGGAAATATACTGGTCACTGGGGAATGGCTTTACAAGGTATATATATTGTTCCTGGTTTCTTCTCTGTTTCTTTGCTTCTTGGTTGTTGTTGAGATAAGAAGCTCTCCCTGACCAAGTCTTTTCACCATCGTGTTTCTACCTTGCACAGGCCTAAAACCATGGATGCAAACCTCTGTATGAGCCAAGATAAATCTTTCCTCTCTCAAGTTTATGAGACATTTTGTCAAAGCAGGTTTTTTTTTTTTTTTCTTTTGTGTACTTGCATTCAGGTTATGCCTTCACACACAGTATATCAGTAAGTACATGATGCTATTTTGTCTCTTGTATAATATTCTGATTCCCTGGTAATAGTGGCAGACTTCTCAACTGTATCCCTTGGAATTAATGTAACTATGAAATGTTACTTTAAGACTATGATTCTCCAACAAATTTTCTTTTTCTTTTTTCTTTTCTTTCTTTCTTTTTTTTTTTTGTTTGTTTGTTTGTTTGTTTGTTTTTCGAGACAGGGTTTCTCTGTATTGCTTTGGAGGCTGTCCTGGAACTAGCTCTGTAGACCAGGCTGGCCTCGAACTCAGAGATCCACCTGCCTCTGCCTCCCAAGTGCCGGAATTAAAGGTGCTCACCACCAACCTGGGCTCTCCAACACATTTTCAAGCAAATGATTTAACACCTATTATTACTCTTGCCTGAATTGGTTTCTACAAAATGACAGTTGCAAAATAGGAAATTTGGATATTCTAAAGGTAGTTCTCTGCTGTAACAATCTTTTTTCTAAGAAGTCTGTGTTACACCCATGTGTTAATATGTAGTGTGGACACCAAAGAGATTAGAGGACAACTTTTGGCTGTCAGTTCTTTCCTTCCACCATGTTGGTCCTAGGGATTGAACTCATGTAGTCACACTTGGTGGCAAGTATCTTTATGTACCGTGTCATCTTCTTGGCTCATAGTTCTGGCTTTCCTGGACCAGGCTGTCCTCAAACTCACAGAGATCCACATGCCTCTGCCTCTGAGTGCCAGAATTAAAGGTGTGCACAACCACCACCATCCAGCTCGATTTTTCATTTTTAAAAGCTTGTGTTGAGAGAGGGAGAGAGGAGAGAGAGTGTCTGAGCCCAAGGTACGAGTTTATTAAGTTCCAGGATGGCCTGGTCTATATAATGGGACTGTCTTTGCAAGGGGGTGGGTGGGGGCACGGCGGTTGGGACGGGCACTGTAAGATGCTTGAAGCCATGTCTGACAACTGAATGTGATCCCAGGAAATCCTACATAGAAAAGTTGTCCTCTGGCCTCCACTCACACTCCATGGTGCATGGCCATCCACCCCAGAGTAAATAAAATGTAATAACAATAATAAAAGCTGGATACAGACGGCAAACATTTGTAATCCCAACACTTGGAAGGCTGGGGGCAAAAAAGAGGTCTGCTGCAAGTTTGAGACCAGCCTAGGCTATGTCAAAAGAGTGAAAAAAGCAAAACAAGGGGCTAAGAAATGGCTCATCAATTAACAGCACTTCTTCCAGAGGATTAGGTTCAGTTCCCAGCACCCTCACCAGGCACCAACAACACCTTATTACTTCAGTTGCTTTGGACCTGAGGTCCTGCCCTCTTGTGGTCTCCATTGGTGCCGCATGCCCCTGCTGAACATAAAACTCACAGGCATACACACATATGGATAAAATAAATGTTTCTTTACTAGGAAAGAAAACAAGCAGGGGTGGAGGACAGTGACACATGCTTTTAACCTCAGTACTCGGGAAGCAGAGGCAGGCAGATCTCCGAGTTTGAGGACAGCAAGGGCTACATAGTGAAACCCATCTCAAAAAAACCAAAAAGAAAAAAAAAAAAAAAAAAAAAAAAAAAAAAGGAAAGAAAATGTTTATATATTAGTTTCCTAAAGCCAGAATGACAAAGTACCAAAAACTAGATGAGTTTTTAAAATGAAAAATGTCCTAATAATAGTTGTAGAGGTCAAGTCAAGATGTAACCTTGACTTTTGAAATTGGAAACAGAACTCTTCCTCACTTCTATGTGTGTGTTGCCTGCATGTATGTATTTACCATGTGTGTGCCTGGTGCCTGCAGAGGCCAGAGGAGGCCACCTGGAGTTACAGATGGTTGTGAGCTACTGTGTGGGTGCTGAGAATAAAACTCAGGTCCTCTACAAGAGCAACAAGTGCTTTTAACCACTGAGCCATCTTGTCTTTGTCCAAATTTGTCTCACATTTACAAGATTACTAGTCATAATTAAGATTCACCCAAAGACCATACTTGAACTTTACCTCTAAAATGATCCTATTTCTAAATAAGATCCTACCCTGGAGCACTGGAGTTTAGAGTTGAAACACAGTCCAACATGCTATCTAATGCTTCCTCTTAGGAAAACTACAAAACATTACTTAGAGAATCAAGACCCAGCTGGGCTAGATAGTTCATGGCACGTGCTTCTAATTACAACACAGGAGTCTGAGACAGGAGGATCACAAGTTTGAAGCTTTGTCTTTGTCTTGGTTCTTAAAAAATTATTTTTCCTCTTCCTTAATCACTTAGTAAATCTCTTAGTATACTAGTGGTTACTTTTTGTTTTGTTTTGTATGCTTTTTTGGTGGTTTTTTATGATCCAGGGCCTGATGCATGCTAGATATGGGCTCTGCTGTTGAACCACATCCCTAGCTCTGCCTTTCACAGGTGTTTTGATTTGGTTTGGTTTGGCTTTTTGAGACAGGGTTTCTTGTGTAATACCTCTGATTGTCCTGGAACTCACTTTGTAGATCAGGAAGAGATCTGCCTGCTTCTGCCTCCAGAGTGCTGGAAGTTAAAGGTGTGCACTACACCACCTGGCTTTTTATGGAGTCTAGAAAGTTTGTGTGTGTGTGTGTGTGTGTGTGTGTGTGTGTGTGTGTGTGTGTGTCTGTGTCTGTGTCTGTGTCTGTGTCTGTCTTTCCTTCTTTGTATGTGCTCATTAAGTTTTAATGGGAGACCAAAGTTAGTCATAAAGTTCTGTTGCCCTAATACTATTTCCTTCCCTGTGTGAAACAGTTGATGACTACCAGCCAGTTCGTCTGTTAAGTGAACCTGGGGAGTTGAGACGAGAATATGAAGAGGAGATAAGCAAGGTGGGTATGGAATAGTTTAGTTTTTGATTTTTTTTTTATTTTGTTGAAATTGTCTTTGCCATGCTTCCAATCTCAGAAATCTTATATATGGGACATGTTTTAATAACTATCATATACTGAAATGCTAGTAAGTTGAATGTACTTTATAGCTCCATTTATCCCCATTCATGAAACTCTGGCCTGAAACTCTTGTGGCCCAGGATGACTTTGAACTACTTCCGTTCCTCCTGCCTCATCTCACAGTGGTGGGGTTATTTGAATAGTGGTGTCACACCTGGTTTTAAAAATTGTTTTGTTGTTTTAAGACATGGTCTTACAGAGATCCTGCCCCTGCTCTCCAAGTGCTGGGATGAAAAGCATGTGTCTGTCACCTAAGCACACCTAGAGGTCCCATTTTTGTTTATTTTTAGTGTGGGTGTGGGTGTGTCTGTGCATTACTTGTGTGCCTAGTGTCATTAGAGTCCAGAAGAGGGCATACATAGGATTCCCTGGAACTATAGTTAGTAAACCACCATATGGGTGCTGAGAAGCAAACCTAGGTCCTAGAAGAGCAGCCAATGTTCTTAACCAGTGTGCGTCTGTCTGACCAAAGGTCCCTTTTTAATTATTCAGCAGCAATAATAATAAATTAGCCTCTATTACTTATAATTACTGAGGGATGCTTTTTGTTTTTAGATAGGATCATGCCATGTAGTGGTGGCTGCCTTACTACTTACTGTATAGTGGTGCCTATGCATTTAAATATAAAATTTTACTGGATTTCTCTGGAATTTTTACCTTAAAAAATATGGTGAAGAAGTGGTAGATTGTGGGTTTAGTATATGGGGGTGACTGAAATACACTGGGCAAAGGTTCAGCTTCCAGGGAAACATTTGAGCCTCACTAGTATGGTACCAGGAGGACACTTACCTGTTTTTGAGACAGGATATTGCTCTGTATCGCAGGCTGTCTTAGAACTCATTGTGTAGCCTATGCTACCCTCTTAATTCCATCCTCAGTGCTGGTATTATAGGCAAAAAGCGACATTTGAATTAGTAATTGACTTTTCCTCCACAAAGACAATAAATGATTCCTGTGCCCTGAAAGTTCCTTTAGGAGTTTTATTATTACTAATTGAAAAATAACAAGACTCAACAGGCCAAATGCTGGCTATAAAACATACCAGTTCACAGTAGCACTTGTAGGAGAGCCTATTATTGTGGAAGCAAGCCCAGTGCCCCTTTTTGTTACAGACCAGCTTCCTGGATTTCAAGAGAGAGACTCACTGGGGCTGCTCTGCTTATCCTAAATCTGTGTGGGTGACACAGTTCAACTTGAAACTGGGCAGTGCATTTAAGTCATCACCAACATACTATGGAGGAGTACAGCAGCTGTGTGTGACACCACAGGGTTCTTCTCCCCTCCTCCCCCAAGGGGGAGGGAATGAAACTTCAGAAGCAAACAAGCCCCAATATGGTATTAGCTTTATGATGAAATAAGGCTGCTCTAGCAAATAAGAGCTGTTGACTTATAGGAAGCACAGTTCTATGCAAATGACAAGTCTGTTATTCATGGTAGCCATCATCTAAGACATGAGTGAATGAAAGTATTCACAGTGAGCTTAGGGTCAAAAGCTGCCAAAGAATGAATCAGAGTTCAGGAGTAAATTCCAGAGGAAGAGAGATGAGCTTTACTGACTACACAAGGAATGTGGAGTCTATTGTTGGTAGGCATCCATTTAGAAGCTGCTGCTGCTCGCCTTCTACTTTCTTGGGGGTTTTCTTTTTTCCTTAGTAAATCTGCTAGAGCAGGCAGCAGCAGAGACAGCTAGGTCTACCTTAGTCAGCCCATGGCTTTCCGTGAACTGAGGAAACATTGCTTGTCTGTGCTGCTGCAGTGGAAACTGGTAAGGACTGGGGGCAAGAGGTTTTGAGTCTTTGTCCAACCTTTGTTGGCTGACTGGGGCAGGCTTCCTGAGGTGTAGGACCTTGAACTGCTCTAGAGCAGTTTGCCTATGGAAATTTGAATCTCGTTGGAGATAAATTCTTGACAGTTTTCACTTTATTTTCTTTTACAATTATTGTGAAATATGAATATATTAGAAATTTCAGAAAAGGATGTCCTTTATGATTTTTAAGGTGGAGGCTGAACGACAAGCCAGCAAGGAAGAAGAAAACAAAGCCAGTGAAGAATACATACAGAAATTGTTGGCAGAAGAGGAGGAGGAGGAAAAGCGACGGACGGAAAAGAGGAGAAGTGAGCTGGAAGAGCAGCTGAAAGGCGACGAGGAGCTGGCCAGGAGGCTCAGCGCCAGCATTGTGAGTTTAAAGTTGTTGTTTTGTTTTGTTTTGTTTTGTTTTGTTTTGTTTTTTTTTTTTTTTTTTTGGATATGGCACATGTTTGAGATGTCCCCAGAGTCCCGGAGAGAGTGTCAGGTCCTCTGAAGCAGGGTTATAGGCAGCTGGTGCTGACATGGGCGCTAGGAAGTGACCTGGCTCCTCTAGAAGATCAGTGAGTGGTTTTAACTTGAGTTATCTCTCCAACCCCAAGAAAAACTAATAAAATTAAAGCAACTTTTCTTATTTTTTGTTTTGAGTTTTGTTTTTGTTTGTTGAGATAGGGTCACTGTAATCCTGTGTAGTCAAGGAACTCCCGGTGTAGAACTCACAGAAATCCTCCTGTCTTTCCCTCCTGAGTGCTGGGATTAAAGGCAAGAGCCACTGCTCCTAGTCCAGCAAGCAAGCTTTTATGACTGAAATGTTTTTGTGTGTTTTTACTTATTTGCTATAGTTAGGGACATACTTATCAGTGGTAAAGATCAAACCCCATACCTTGGATATCCTAAACAAGGAAGCTATACCCTCAGCCTGATCCTGTTTTAACGTTTAATTTATTTATTTAGTGTGTGGGCATTACATGAGCTGCAGTCAAAGGACAGAGTTGGTCCTCTCCTTCCTCTATGTGGGTTCTGGGTATCAAACTCAGGAATCCAGGGATGGTGGCAAGTACATTGACTAGTGAGCCTCCCATTGGTCCTCCTAGCCTAATTCTTAAATAATATATTGAACTGGGATTTCCTTACCTTGCTACTAGATTATTGTTTATAAAGAGCAATGAAAGCCACGGATTGTCAAACATTCACCAAAACCTAAGCATTTCAGAACCTATTGACTTAAAGAGCCTGGTATATTGAAGCCAAAGCCTTAGCACAAGCTATAACAGTAAGCTATATACCTTGAGCCCACCTAGGTTTCTTTTAAAATAGACTCTCGGGCTAAAGTGATGTTTCGGCGTTAACAGCACTGGCTGCTCTTTTAGGATCTGGGTTTGGTCCCCAGCACCTTTCACATGTGTTGTGCACAGTCATGCACGCTGGCAAAACACCCATACTTTAAGAAATTAGTAAAATAATGTAAAGTGTTTTGAAAATAAAGTACAAGTTCTCATACCTATTCTAAACCAAACTGACTTGGACTCTATGGGGGTTTGTCTTAGTGAGTACCGTCTCCAGTGAGAGCTAGGGTGTCTGAATTTTGAGGATATAGAGCCTCTGAGAATTAACTCCCCTACTTTTGAAAAACACACCTGAGAATATATTTCACCAAAATGAAATATACCTAAAATTTTTTTATGCATCTTATCATTAATACTGAACTCTTATTTATTTATTTTTGATTTTTTGAGACAGAGTTCCTCTGTATTGCTTTGGAAGCTGTCCTGAAACTAGCTTTTGTAGACCAGGCTGGCCTAGAACTCACAAAGATCCGCCTGCCTCTGCCTCTTGAGTGCTGGGTTTAAAGGTGTGCACCACCACCTCCCGGCAATAATGTACTCTTAAGCTCTGTGATCTTATCCCCTTTTGTTATATCCTTTTCTCAGTCTGAGTAAAAATTTAGAAAGATACATAATCAGAAATTATAAAAAAAAAAAAAAAAACAGCTGAGGGTTAAGCCTTGCACTTTGGGAGGTGGAGGCAAAAGGATCACTGCAATTTCAAGGCCAGCCTGAACTACACAGTTGAAACCGTCTACAAACAAAGCAGAGAGCGATAAGGAGGCAAGAGATTGTCCTGTAAAATGGATGGATGAGTAGAATCAAGATGGAAACATTTGAAGAGGGGAATTCAGAATCACTTGTACCTGACTTTCAGTCTAATTCTAGTTTTCACATGAGGTCCCAGTAGATTTATTGAAATTTTAGGGTAGTTTTTGGCTTAATGTACATTTTAGACATGATAAACAATTATGGCTTATTTCTGTGTATTAATTTTTGCTCCAGATAATACCCTTGGCTCTTTAAGTTAATTACATGAGACTGTCAGGGGCTGCGAGATGGCTTAGTACTTTCTATACTTGGCCAGAACCCAAGTTTGATTCTTAGCACCTTCCATAAATGACAGCTTGCAACCATCTATAACTACAGTTTCAGGATATCCAACACCCTCTTCTGAACTCCTGGGGCATCAGGCATGCATGTGGTACACAGACTTATGTGCTGGTAAAATAAGTTAATATCTTTAAAAAACAAAACGATGCGGGGAAGGTAGCGCACATGTGATCCGATCACTCAGGAGGCAGAGGCAGGCTGATCTCTGAGTTCAAGGCCAGCCTGGTGTACAAAGCAAGTTCTAGGACAGCCAGAGCTGTTTCATGGAGACACTCGGTCTCTAAAAAACCCCAAAAATAATGACATTATCAGCTTGAAGATTAATTAGTATCATCATTTCTTTGAGGGAGAGTGTATTTGTGTGTGTGTGTTATTTCATTTTATATATAGTAACAAATTGTTTCATTTAGATAAACTTAAATGAGCTTATTTTTGTTTATATAGGCATCCTTTTTTGGATCTCATATATATAAAAATTTAAAGGTAGTCAAATATTACATAAAATGGCATAGCTTTTTGCATATAACCTAACAAATCCTCCTGTATGCTTTTTATTACATTTATATATTTGATATGTGTGTGTGGGGGGTGTACACATGTACCACAGCATTTTGGGTGGAAGTCAGTGGACAATTTGTGAGAGTTTGTTTTGTTCCTATCATATGGGTCCTGAGATGGAGCTCAGGCTGTCAGGTTTACCATGAACACCTTGGCCACTGAACCATCTTGCCTCCTTATGGACTTTAAATCATGTATTATGGTCTGTAATACAATGTAAATGCTGTGTGGATGCCTATTGCAAAATAAAGTCTAGGTAATGAAAATGAAGTATGTACATGCTCAGTAGTCAAAGAATTTAAAGGATTCATTTTCTGAAAAATTAAGAATTTGAGTTCATAGAATTCAAAGCTTTTTTTTCCCCCATAAAGTTCTCTTTAATAATGTTTTTGTATGTTTTTCTTGTGACTGAAGAACAGTAACTATGAGAAAAATATTTTGGCTTCTCCTTCAAGTTCCAGAAAATCTGATGCAGTCACAAACAAGTCACAAAAGAAAAATACAAACAAACAAAAAAGCTTTGGAGACATTCAAAAGTAAGTGAACGTGACTGCCATTTATCCATTGGTGACATATGGGTTTTGTTCATATTGACCACTGGTTCTTCAAGTTTTGTTAATGAGCTTATGTTTTTTAAAGGTTTTTTTTTTTTTTGAGATATTTAGTATGACCTTCTATTTTTACACTAAAATACTGTACTGAATCCTGTAGCATGCAAAATAGAAGACCCGTTCAAGCTTCAAGCTGAATATGAGAAAAACAAAGTAGCCAGCCACTAGCTCTTATCTCTACTTCAGCCCAGACCAAAGGGGCAATCCTCAAACTGCTCCCAACTTCACTGTCCCTCAGATTCACTCAGACTGCCATGCTGTCCTCAATGTGACTAGAGACTCAATGCCTTCCTATCTATCCTCAATGTGGCTGGAGAATGAATGCCAGCTCTGAGACCCTATTCCTGTCTTAAATACCCCTCATGAGTCCTGGGATTAAAGGTGTGAGCTCTGTTACTGTTTTAGACTGATTCAATCTCATGTAGTCCTGGGTGGCCTTGGACTCACAGAGATCCATCTACCTTTGTCTCCTGAGTCCTGGAATTAAAGATGTGTGCCACCTCTACCTGACCTCTGTAGCTCGTGGCTGACTTTGCTTTTTCAATCCTCAGGCAGTCTTTAATAAATCATAAATATATCATCACAGAACCCTCCCTGCAGTGCTAGGCAGGAAGCTAGACCTCTAGCTGCTAGCCAGGCACTCTGACTGCCCTAGACTACTTAGGGTTTCAGGTTGTGTCCCTGGAGATGAAATCTGCTCCAGTAAGTTAAATAGCCAGCACACATACAACCTTTAGTGTATTAATTTTTTTTTTCAAAGCATTCAAGGTTTAGTAACTTATAACATTTTTTTGTTTAAAGATATTTGTCACCTAAATTGAAGTCTGGGTCAGCATGGCCATGTGAAGCTGTTTGTGGAGAGGATAAAAGCTGCTTATGTAAGGTATGTTGGTGCTGAGGAAGCTCTCAGGGGCTCTCAGGGGCATTGACTCCTACTATGGGTCACTAGATCTGTGCTATCCTCAGCTCACTCTCTCTAATGGACCAGGGACAGACATTTTGTCTCTGTTATCAGAGGGACTCTGCCATTGCCACCAGTGAGTGCTTCCTTAGTAAATATGCAAGCAGGTAAGCTTATCTGTATCCAGGAAATTTTTCTCTTCCCCACCCCACTCAACCCCAAGACAGGGTTTCTCTGTGAAACAGCCCTTGTTATCCTGGAACTCTGTAGACCAGGCAGGCCTCAAACTCTTGAGATCCACCTGCCTCTGTCTCCGAGTGCTGGGATTAAAGGCCTGGGCTACCATGCCCTGCTCTAGTGATTTATTTTTACTTTGTGTGCATTGTGTTTTGCCTGTATGTATATCTGTATGAGGATGTAGGAACCCCTACAGTTGTGAGCTGCTATTTGGGGGCTGAGAATTGAATCCAGGTCCTCCAAAAGAGTAGCCAGTGCTCTTAACCACTAAGCCTTCTATCTCATATAAATGTTTTGCTTGTGTGTATATATGTACAAAATGTGGATGCCTGGTACCCAAGAAGGTCATAACAGGGCATTGGCCTGGGACTGGAGTTACAGATAGTTGAAAGCTGCCATGTTGGTGCCAGGAATCAAATCTGAGTCCTCTGCAGGAGCAACAAGTGCTCTGAACTGAGCCAACTCTCTAGCCCAAAACTATCCCAAACATAGGCAGCAGGCTGGACTTGGCTTCTGGGCCAGGGTTTCTAATCTCTGGCTAACATGACAGCATTTGCACAGCTGAATAGGCTACACCTGACACCAGTTTACCTAGAAGATGCAAAGCAGTGTGTTCTAGGAGGGCTGTGTTAGGCATGTCTGTTAAAGAAGGAGTCCTCACAACTGAGACCCTAAGCAGTGACCTAAAAGATAACACCAAGTAAGAGTGTGGTAGCACTCAAAACTCATGTCAGAGTGGTTTCTGGACAGGTGGTATAGACCTATAATCCTTTCACATAGGCAGCTGAAGGCTGTAGCTAGTAGATTTTTTTTTTAAGACCTATTTATTTATTTATTATGTATACAGTTTTCTATGTGCATGTACAGCTGTGGGCCAGAAGAGGCACCAGATCGCATTACAGATTATAGTGAGTCACCATGTGGTTGCTGGGAATTGAACTCAGGACCTCTGGAAGAGCAGCCACTGCTCTTAACCTCTGAGCCATCTCTCCAGCCTGGCCAAAAGATTTCAAATTGGACTACATAGCAAGTTCCATGCCAGTTTGGACTCATAGTTAGACTCTGTTCCCAAACAAATTCAATTATTTCTGGTAACATCCCTAGTGTGCAGCTCTCAGGGGTCTGTAAGGAACAACCTAGTCAGTTATGAGTCACTTCAAACTTTGCCATTTTTTTTAAAGAGTTTATTTTGTCAGGTGGTGGTACATTCATTCCTTTAATCCTACCACTCAGGAGACAGAGGATCTCTGTGTTTGAGGACAACCTTGTCTACAGAATGAGTTCCAGGACAGCCAGAAATACAGGGAGTAAAACTCTTTTGAAAAAAACAAAATAAATAGTTTTTAAAGAAAATTGTGTTGTTTTGCCTCCAAGTATATCTGTGTACTTGGTGCCTGTGGAGGCCAGAAGGGGGCGGCAGATCCCCTGGAACTGGACTTACAGACAGCTGTGAACTCTCCTATGGGTGTTGGAAATTGAATTTTGGTCCTCTGGCTTGGACTCTGGCTGTGCAGCCAGTTTTCTTAACCACTGACTTATCTTTCTAGTCTTGCAAGTTAAGTTATTTATCTAAGGGCTAAATACAAGAAAGTGTATTTTTGCTAGTCTCTAATTTAGTGTTTCTTTTCATGTTTGATGTAGATACCAAACCTTAGTGCTGGACTTTGTGACTTTGTGATTAGAGAAAACACAAGCATTGGCTAGGAATGTGGGATATGCCAGGGTTTGGGAGGCTGAGGCGGGAGGGCCAGTCTGGGCTACTGAGACCTTGTCTCAAATAGACATATGTTCATAAAGGATATTAAAATGAATCTGCACCTACCAGGAACCTGAGAAACAGAATGGGGCTAGTAGATCACTAATACAGTGTGTACACAAAGTGAGGTGAGGTCCAGATTTGATCCCTGGCACTGAGGGAAGCGGAGAGGAAAGGAAGGGAAACGAGCAATATATTTTATTCAAAATTTTTGAATAATCATCTCTTCCTAGATATACAGATGATTCAACTTGTTAATATGTCTTACTTAGTTTATCAATGAGTTAAGAAAAAAAAAAAAAAAAACCTGGCAATGGTGGGTCACGTCTTTAATCCCAATACTCAGGAGGTAGAGACAGGTGGATCTGTGTGAGTTCAAGGCCAGCCTGGTCTACAGAGTGAGTGCCAGGACAGCTCCAAAGCTAGAGAAACTATCTTAAAAAACTAAAGAGGGGTGGGGACTAAGGAAGGGCTGAAGTGATGCCTCAGTTAGGATCACTCAGTGCTCCTTCAGAAGGCCCAGTTACATTAACTGACTATAACTCCAGCTACAGGGGACTCAGTGCTGTCTCTGGACTCTGGAGATTTGTAGTCATGTTTATATATCCCCTGCCACATACATGTACACATAATTAAAAATATAAAACCTTTAAAAGCCAGAGAAGATCTATAAAGGTCAAAACATCCTGGAGTCGGTTTTCAGGGCAGTGGAATTATTTGTCCTAATATTACTTAGCACACCAGGTAAAAATAAGATTAAGAAAGAATTATGATAGACATAGGTTTTGATCTTTGTTCCAATCAGGAAAGAGAAGGAAAGGTAGGTAGCAACGGTGATGCGAACATACCTCATTGTTGATATGTGATGCTGTATAGTGACCCTTCACCTATGGTGGCTTATACAATATTTTCCCTTTAGATAATCTGTAATGTTGTTTTCTACAGGAAATTGACGGTAGTGACATGAAGAGCCCTGTGTGGCAAGACACAGAAATTGAAAAAGATATGCCAACACTTTCTCCGCAGATATGCCTAGAAACTCAGGAACAAGGTTCAGAGTCTTTGGCAGAGTCACCTGTGCCATGGTTATGTGCCAGGGATGCCGAACAGTGCCTTGAAGGAACAGTTGAAACATTATCAACCAGTCGTGATGATTTATGTGTTGTAAATCATGAGGGACCTAAAGCCAAAGTTCCCTACTCTAATGAAGCTACACTTAAGCCTTCTGGTAAAATAGAAAACGAAGAGTGCTCTGTGTCAGGTGTGACCCAGTTAGCTGGTGGTAACAGAGTTCCAGAAAGTAGAGTGTATCATCTAGTGGTTGGGAAAGAGATCTCCAAAAGAGAAAACCAGGAGTCTGTGTTTGAAGCAGCAGTCATGGATCCATGTTTTTCTGCAAAAAGAAGGAAAGTGTTTCTCAAATCTTCGGATCAAGAAGAAACTGAAGTGAATTTTACACAGAAACTAATAGATTTGGAACACATGCTTTTTGAGAGACATAAACAAGAAGAAGAGGATCGATTGTTAGCATTACAGCTTCAAAAGGAGGTGGATAAAGAACCGATGACGCTAAACCGACAGAAAGGATCCCCAGATCAGTACCAGTTGCGCACATCTTCACCACCAGACAGGCTGCTGGGTAAACAGAGGAAGAATTCCAAAGATAGGAACTCCGCAAAGCTGACCAATTCAGAGAGGTCAAAATCTCAGAGGAGCACAAAAGATGAATACTGGCAACCCTCTAAAAGCACATGGAAGGATTCAGTTAATGGAAGAAAGATGCCAAGTTCTACTAAAGATGATTGTAGTAATGTATCTAAACGCACTTATTCCCTACAGTCTAGTAATTCACAGAAAAGTATTATCCAAATGTTTCAGCGATAAACCAAACAAAGCATGGCTAAAGAGAGTGTTCTGTAATCTAGTAAAGCTGTATTGTAAAGGTAGCTCTTTTCCATCATAAAATCTTGATGTGTCATTAACTTCTGCTCAGCAAGCATGCTTACTCTCTTTTCTAAGGTGTGGCTACAAAGGGAGAGTCTAAAAATATGTTTCTGCAAAAGTCATTGATAAGGAAAGATCCTTAAGAATTGTTTCCGTTGTTAATACAGCTATGTTCTAATTGCAGGGGTCTTTAAAAAAAGTGCCTAGGTGAGACATCTTCAGATGCCATGAATGGGTAAGGAATCCACAAGGGTGTCTTCCATAACACTAAAGCAGTTATTCCCATACCTACTAAGTATTCTAGCATTTCTTTTGGTTTAAGATGGACTAGGATCTACATCAAATAGTTGACAAAAGAGCTGCTAGGTTGTCAACACAAAAGGGTTTAAGAGTGGGATGAGGCTGAGTGGTGGGTTGGCAGTTAGGGGTCACTGGAAACTGTAACCAGAAACTGGGTTGAGAATGGGCACCAGATTTCTTGTGGCAGAACATGAACCCTTCTTTAAGTGACAGAAAATATTTTGGGTTTTCAGCTTTTCACACCATGTTATCTTGGCATATTTTTACTGATCTTTTCTAGAAAAAAAGAACTTACTTACTGTAGGCAAATTATACCATAGGCTTCTGTTGAACACAGTCGATACCACCCTTATTGCTTGCTGGCTCGGACTTTAGTGTTTGTCTGCAGGGATGGAAAGTGGTTTGTGGAGTTTGCTCAGGCTTTCCCTGAAAGGTAAATCCAAAGGGAACTGACTTTATTTTGTGAAGTTTAACTTTACTACTATCTTTCCAACTGTATTTCTTCTGGTGTCCTGGCGTCCATTTACTGTGAACATCATGAACTGTCCTGGCACAGTGTTTGGCTTGATCCACATTTTTGTCATTTGAGCTTTTTCTTCTAAATTTTGAGATTGTTTTTATGTTTATCTTGGCATAATTTTTTTCTAAGAGCAATTTAACTTAATAATGCTTTAAGTGTTGGAACTCCAAATTAAAAGCTATCACATTGAATCTTTGTGGAATAGTTCATGACCAAAGGAAAGAAGAAAAAGAAGCCATGGAGTGATGTGGTTAGAATTTATGTACTTCTCCACTGGCTTGTCAATGGGGAAGTCTTCTTGACTGAAGTTGGTTTGGAGATTTGTAGTTTCTCTTTTAACCTTTCTGTTTACTGTTTATGCCTTTGGGTTAGAAAGTATTTTTTATTGGTCATTGGTGTGATTTCCTTATTTCTGTGGGAAACATTTTATCAGAATATTAAAGCTGTGCAGATGTTGAAAATAAATGAAAAAGAGACTGGGCATGGTGATACATACCTAACTGATCCCAGTACTTGGGAAGCAGAGACAGGGGCATCTCTGAGTTCTAAAAATATATATATATATATATAATTAATTGATTAAAAGAATGATTAATAAAAATCGACTCTCATGTTTATTTTAGTTTTTTTGTTTTGTTTTGTTTTTTTAAAAGGCTATAAACCAGGCATGGTGGTACATGCCAACCCTATTGAGACTAGAGCAGGAAGATTTTGATCTGGTGGCCAAGCTGGGCTACATATTGTGGTGCTAGAGGGAAAACCTACAACCTCACATGTGCTAGGTAAGCATTCTCTCACTGAGCTACACTTCCAGCCCAAGTGAAATTCTGTCTCAAAAACTTAAACAAAAATTGGCTACATAAAAAATTAGACATTGTTCATTATAACAAAACCACCATAAAATTTAAGAAAATAGATTTTGGGCATGGGCATGTTAGTGCACACCTTTAATCTGAGCACTTGGGAAGCAGGCGGGATCTGAGTTCAAGCTCAGCCTGGTCTACAGAGTGAGTGCCAGGACAGCCAGAGCTACACACAGAAGCCCTGTTTCCACCCCCCACCCCAGATAAATAATATAGAGGCTGGAGATGGAGCTCAGTGGTTGAGTACTTCCCTGACAGCCCCAAGGTTACTTAGGTTCGGTACTCAGTGACACACAGTGCAGGTGTGGGGAGAGAGTATGTGGGACTATTACTCCACACTTTTGATGGGCAGGAGGATTGGGATCCCTCAGCTAACAGGAGTTAGAAGCCAACCTGAGATTTACAGCTTCTTTGCCCTGGGGTTCCCTTTAGACCCTGTCTCAAAAATACAAACTGGACAACCTCCCCAAGGTTATATAAACAGTAACACCTGCTGGAGGAGAACAGGTTCTCTGGTGGAACTGCCTGCAAGTTGAACAGGGAGTTTCTTGGATACAGCTTTGGTGAGTGGTCTAGCATGAATTCTAATTGGTACTAATAATAAAACTCAGAATCCAATATTGGGGGGGGGTGTGCTGAAAGATCAGAGAAGCAGAGCAGCCAGCCAGCCATTAGCTCTTACCACATGGGTGGTCCTGTCTTTTTGGATCCTTAGACTGAATCCTATGACTGCCTAGACTGCATCCTCAGACTTACCTGAGCTCCTGTCTTCTCCTCTCTCTACCCAGCCATATCCCTTCCTGTCTCGACCTCCTTAGTGCTTAGATTAAAGGTGTGTCACTCCAAGTGCTGTTCCAAGTCTTTTAGACCCAGGGTGGCCTTGACCTAACAGAGGTCCATCCGCCTCTGGCTCCAAGTGCTGGGATTAAAGGTGTGTGCCTCTGGCTAACTAGTGTCGATAGCTTTGCACTCTGATCTTCAGGCAAGCTTTATTAGATCACAAACAAAATATCACCACAGGGTGGTGTCCATCTGAAGCGGACTTTGCAATGATTCTGCAGCTGCCTTTAGTCACCATGGGCCTGTAAGCAACCTCTCTTCACCCATGCTGCAGGTAACCTCAGAAACCTCACTGGCTTACAAAAAAACAAAACAACCTACAATGGAGGTCTACAAGGAAAAAACATTTTGATATAGTTGGATGTAGTAGCTCATTCATTTAATTGCAGCATTCTGGAGGCAGATGCAGGTAGTACTGAGTTCAGGTCATCCTTGTCTCCATAGAGGCTCCAGGCCAGCCGGGGCTGAGACAGTGCTGCATAAAAGAAAGTGAACCAGCAGGGACTATCCTGGCAGTCTGTAGCCAAGGAATATCACAGTCACACCATACAACTGAAGGAGACCCCACTGCACAGCAGAGGTTCCCTCCCCAGGACCCCCCCCCCCCCAATTAGGCATCAAAGGCATCTGTTTTCACAGAAGTCATTAACAGGGTAGAAAAATTAGTGGTCGCTTTCTGACTCAGAAAACAGCAGCAAATGACCTTGCAGGTGTCTTTTTTTTTGGGGGGGGGGGTTGAGACAGGGATTTTTTGTGTAACAGTCCTAGCTGTCCTGGAACTAGCTCTGTAGACCAGGCTACAGATATAATTTAGACCTGGCACGGATGTAATTTTTAAAAAGAGAAAAGGAAGCCAGGTGTTGGTGGCACACACCTTTAATCCCAGCAGTGGGGAGGCAGAGGCAGGTGGATCTCAGAGTTCGAGACCAGCCAGGTCTACAAAGTGAATTCAAGGACAGGCTCCAAAGCTACACAGTGAAACCCTGTCTCTAAATAAATAAATAAATAAATAAATACATAAAAAGGGAAGAAAGGAGAAGGTCTGTGTTAGAATGGGCTAGGATGTGGTGGTGGTATATTTTGATTAGGAATGTTAACTAGATGAGCCAAAAGGGGCTTTTGCTTACTGGACCTTGGTAGTCAGCCTCAGGAGGAGGAAGTGGCCAAAAAGGGAGCAGACCTTGGTGGCTGCTTTAGGAATGCAATCTAACAGTTTTAGGAATGCAAAGGGAATGGGGGAGAAGGGCAAGCAAGGCTGCCAGAGCCACATGCTCAAGTGGGCTAGTGTCCTTTCAGTAACAAACCTTACACCAGACACACCGGGTAACTGCCTGTGCTGGGGCAAGCAGCAGGGAACTGAGCAGGAGACAGTTATATAGGGCTTTCTTGGGGGCGGGGTTTTCAAGTCCAGAGCTTGGGGTGAGCCCAGGGACTGGTGGGTGGTCAAAGTCCAGAAGAGAGCTACAGGAGAACACAAGCAATCTAAGCATAACTGAAGATGCAATTTGCTGCTTCCAAACCTAGAGGGAGCTCAGGGTGTGGGAGAGGATGGACCCTGCAGACCCAGGAAATAAGTCCCAACTGTTGCTTGTATTCTGAAATTGCTTCGTTAGTCCACTTCTATTAGAGTTGGGGGCTTTGGAGGCTGGAGTCAGACTGGCACTACTGTGACAATGATAAGAAAGCAAAACATGGGGCTGGAGAGATGGCTCAGTGGTTAAGAGCACTGGCTTTCTTCCAGAGGACTCATGTTCAGTTCCCAGCATCCACACGGCAGCTTACAGCTCTCTATAATTCTTGTTCTGGGGGATCTGACAACCTTATACAGACATTCAGGTAAAACATCAATGCAAATAAAATACAAATAAATTACTTTTTAAAAAATAAAGAAAGCAAACCACAAGGAGCTGGAAATGACTCTGCTCTTCCAGAGGAACACGTCCCAGATTACAACTGTTACTCCAGTGCCCAGTTCTAGGGGATTCACTGCCGTCTTCTGATCTCCACAGACACTGCACACACAAGATGCACATACATGGATGCAGACAAAGCACCCATCCACATACTTATATTTATAATAAAATATAAATACCATAAATCTTTCCCTTTGGGTAGGAGGCAAAACATGGTCTCCCATATATAGTACAGGCTGGCTTGGAACTTGCTATGTAGCTGAAGATAACCTTAAACTACTCATCTTGCTCTTTCGATTTCTTGGGAGTACAGCTGTGTGCCATCATCTGGATTCACCCCCCTTTTAAAAAAGTATTTTGAATTTTAATTCCAGCAGCTATTTACTCCTATTGACAGGCAATTTCCTTATTTTTATTTATTTTGGTTGGGGGGGCAGGGTTTCTCTGTGTAGCTCAGGCTGTTCTGATACTCGCTGTATAGACCAGGCTGCCCTGCCTCACTAATGCTGGGATTAAAGGCTTGTACTACCACCTCGAACTCATAACTTTTTTTCTCAACAGGAAGCCAAAGCAAAGGAATCTGGGAATTGTTTTAATCATAGCAGTTCAGAATGGCATCTCGAAGCTGAAGAGAAAGGGGAACAACCCACATGTGTTTTCCTTTAACAGATAAGACTAAGATGACCAGAAACCACTTATTATTTTTACTTATAATCAGAGCCTGCTGTATCCCAGGCTGCCCTTGAACTCTCTAGGTAGTTTAGGATGATCACGGACTTCTGAACCTCCTGCTTCCACTTCAAAAGTACTGACTGGGATTGTAAGTGCCACCACGCCTGGTTTTACTCTATGGTGCATGCCTTAATCCCAACACTCTAGAGGAAGAGGCAGGCAGATCTCTGAGTTTGAGACTGTCTTGGTCTACATAGTGTCATACTTTTCCCAAAGTCTGGCATTTAGACAAAAGCCAGCATTCCCTCAGGGGCTAGAAGGTAGTTTCCACTTCCTGAAAGGAATCATTCTCCTGGCAAAAGGGGTATGTGGCTCTCCTATGAACATATGACTGTAGTGTCTATTAGCATGTCTAGGCTCCCTCAGTCCCTACTCACAAGCCCCCATTCTAGCTCATAGGTTTCCTTCCTCCCGGGTACTTGTTCCCATATAACCCAGGAGATCTCTACCCCACACCCACCCCTGTCCCTTCTCTCTGCTTTCCCGAGAGACAGCCTTCACAACTTGGAATAAACTTGTCCATTTTTCACCCCTGGAGCAGCTATTTCAATTTCTTTATTCCATCTATTTCATTTGATTTGTTTTTGAGACAGGATCTCTCTGTGTGGCCCTGGCAGTCCTAGGACTTGCTATGTAAATTAAAATGAGGACATGTATGATTAAGAAGAAGGGTTTTATTGTAGATATAGGTTCTCTATATCTGTTCTAGCCAGAGGCATCTGGAAGAGTCCGGAGTGAACATGGCCAGCAGAATAGATCCAGCCATGAGACAGGAGAGCAAGTACGAGAGAAAGAGAAAAGAGGAGATGGGGGCCAAGAGAGTGCATGGGAACTAACTAGTAGCCAGAATAGCTGGGTTATGTAGGAATCAGGCTGGGGGAAAGGGGAAGCAAAGCCTGGACTGGAGAGGTTTAGGGTAGGGGTTGGGTGATGAACGAGCCTACCTCCACTCTAGGTTTGAAAGCCATCTTATAGTAAATGTTCACTTATGTTTATGATTAAACCTCTTTTTTTTCAAAGGTTGAGCTATGCTTCACCTATAACCATAACTACAAATTGTTCTGTACAACCTGTTCCAGGAATAGCAATGTCTTTGTTTTAAAAAGTTGGTATGCCTGGGCAGTGGTGACACATACCTTTAATCCCAACACTAGGGAGGCAGAAGCAAGCAGATCTCTGTGAGTTCAAGGCCAGCCTGGTCCACAAAGTGAGTTCCGAGTTAGCCAGAGCTATTTGTTGTGCAGAGGAACCCTGTCTTGAAAAACCAAA